TCAGATATCCTCTCCACCTGTTACTTCCTTTCAGCACTGAAGGATTAGGGGACTGGTGCTGCAGGCATAATGAGGAATTCCCAGTATGATAAAACATTCAAAATAGCTGTCATCAGGACTCACAGGCCCCAAATTTACTGCTGTCTTTTAAATTCTGTATCCAAAACAGTAGCAAAGCAATGCTCCCTTTAAGCCTAAAGCATGAAAACAAGACTCTGCAGCATACTAAAAGAAGCATCAATGGGAGAGTCAGATGGAATCCTTCTCTTTTACTGAAGAAGCAGATTTTGTCTGTTAACTTTATATCTGGGGTTCACAGCACTGGATTTTGCCTCCATTAAAGCTTTAGCCTACCATTAAAGCTTTAGTCCATCAGCGTTTCTTAATTAAATCAACAGATAACTTGATTTCAGGAGGATTTCAATCATTCTTGACAAATGGGATTTTAAAGGGATTATTGGTTTGCTCTTGTTGTGCAGGGGGTATGGCATGGGATTCACGAGAAGGTCGCAAAACTCTTTCAGGGCATCAAAGTGATTAAGCAAAGCACAAGTAACCCCAAAGCCCTGCTAGAATTAAATGGAAGGAAGGAAAGAACTTCTTCAAGACTGAAACAGCTGCCCGCAATGTATTCAGATATTTAAATTGAGAACAATGTTCTCGGTCCAAGTCATCATTCATCTATCCATCACCAGAAGACCGCTTGTCCTGCTGAGGGTTGTGAAAAGCCAATGTCTATCCCAGGAGTACAGGGAACATGGCAGGACAGACAGCAGACATCTGCTTCAGGAGGCTACCAATCAACCAGAGGGCCACCGAACGAGGTACAATGTGGAACAGATTATCCACCCCAGCCCGAATGTCTTGGGAAGGTGGCTAGGAACCCACAGCCAAAACCAAATGAACATGAGAAAAGCCTGCAAACTCTGGATATCTAGGTGCCTGAAACTGGAATAAAACCTAGGACCTTGAAGCTTTTACTGGAAGAGCCATTTTGAGGTAAAAGTGTTAAGTGCCACTGCAGTGAGTAGCCCATAAGCTTGATGTGGTTCTGAGGTCAAAATGACAGGATCAAGAATCTCCTCTAAGCACATATTAGAAAGGCTCCCATAAACAAGGAACACTCTTTGACAAATCTTAAAAAGAATTGTTTTGGTATTCGTGGAATACAATTGTTTTTAAGAAAATGGGTTTTGGCAGGTTTGGTTTGGCAACAATTCAGACATTCCAGCAAGAATTTCAATTTTTAATATATTACCAAGAAAACAAAACACCACGAGCCCCACAGCATTTTTATTAAACAAGTAAAATACAATCTCTGTTTCTTTTACTTAATTTCTTGCTTGGTGAATTTCCCATTACGTGTAGACTGTTTGAAACTCTGTTTCTGCTTAGATTATTTGTCATGCTAACTTACCAACGCAGAGGAAACATTCTGACTTCTCAAACCTGAATTTGAAGGGGAAAATTTGTGGACTTTTATTTACTTTTTTCAAAGATTTTTCAACGTATCCATTGCTTTTAAGGGTACTAATTTACTTACATTTCCTCAAAGTTTGCCACTTCCTATCTACTTTGATAAACGAAGTGTAGGGATAGTTTACATTCCAAGTTAAAACCTGTTAAAGACATATCACACATTTAAAAAAAACATAGTAACTGAAAAAGGCTAGAAAAGATACTGCCAGAAAATGCATACAATATAATCTAGTGTTTTAAATACCAGACAAGCCTGAAAAATAACACTGCCTTATTCTGAGAACCAAGGGCAAGGGGGTGTTGTACATATATCAAATCTGTTGTATACTAAAAAAAATGTGCGCTTCTTGGAATTTCAGGCAGCAACTTCAAATAATGTTATGCAATTCTGGTCAGTATACAGTTACATTTATCTTACATTTGCTGTTACTACAAGAGCCATTTCATTTTATCCATATCACAAAATCTGCACATGCTTTTATTGAACCTGGAATTGAAAACTTGTGGACAAAAATTCAATAAAGATTTATCACCTACACTTCACACTCAGTGCAGAAATTCTGTGACTTTTGCAAGAATTCAGCACTTGTTTATTGCTCATCTGTCATTGACTAAGTCTTCATTTAGCAATGGGAGAGTGTTGTACAAGACATGCACAGCCACCTACACTCCCTATTACATTGAGCTAATTAACATTTAAATGTGAATTACTACGAGTTCACTGCATCTTTCACATTCTTATTGAAATTGTAAGCACCGATTTTCTGGTAATTCTGCAAGAACAAGCCTATTTCTGGTTGTATCAAACATATCCATACAGGACAAAGTAAGATGTTAATGTATATGAATTATAATAAGGTTACTTGTAAAAAGAAACTAATATTATTGTAGATCATGAATTTAAATTTCATGCCACATTTTTATTATTGTTTCATCACATAATCCAGTTTAATTGGATGTTCATTTTTTTTTTAGTTTGAAGATGTTTTCATCACTAAAATGTTGTTTCCTGGGCAGCTCTTTCCTGATCCTATTTAACCTAAGAAATGCAACTAACTCTTCCAAGCACCCTGTGACTAGATTAGAGTGCAACAAATAGGCAGAAAAGACTGTCAATTTTACAATACTCTCTGAACAGCATTGTGCCCTAAACATGTAAAATTGTGATGGCCATTCCACAGAATTTAGAACAGTCTGTGCCCATTTGTGAAGGAATCTGACCTTAGCTCTGCACTATGTTCATTACCTACTTATTTCAGTGATGAGTCGTAAAGCAGAAATGTGTCTTCTCAACTTGCTCTATAATAAATAAACTGGTAGATGTGACAGGTACTGATAAGGCTATCCAATCAAAATAAGCTCGATGCAGGTAACTATTACCCATTTGGCACTGAGATAAAAAATGAGCCTACTAGAACAGTGGGTTAAGAAACTGAAAGACTTAAAATCGACAAACTGACCTTTATTGTGTTGGCGAGAAGCCACATGGTAGAGAAATTAAAAGGAAAAACACAGTGAGGCACATATTCAGAGAGATTTGTTGCAGGTAGCAGGTATACTTCCCTTCGCTCAAAACATCCTCAAAAACTGAGCCAGGAGCATTATTAGTCATAAACTGGGGAGAACAGTATTGAACAAAGTTCCACCCTCACTCTCTTCCTTACTGGAGTACTATAAGCCTGTGCCCCTCTCTGATTACAGCACTTTCACTAAACCGCCCACGCACAGGAAAGCAATGAGAGAGGTGTAACTGACCTGAAAATTGCTCCTGGGGAGTTATTTAATCCCGATAACCTAAAGGACAAAAATAAGCGCACCCTACCTAGAATTCCAGTGGATCCATTACTAAAGTAAAAACAAATCAACCCCTGGCTGAACAAACCAACAAAATGAATTGGGGAAAAAATGTTCTAATGTTATAAAATGCAACATTAAAAAAGCAGCAGTCCCATCCACTATATATTATCCAACCACCTCCATCTTTGGGGCAGAAATGACTGATCATAAGGAAATAACTGTGCATTTAATATCCTGAGCTGAGCTCTCTTTCAAAACTGTCATTTAGGCAACCTTATCAATCTAAGATAAGATTATTTTTCTAATAATCAATAGACGTCCTCTATAATCCTTATTAGCAACAGACTGCAAGCCAATCACTAACAATGCTCACAACCTGCTGAAACTGTGTGCTGTGTGAAAAGAAGTTACCCACTGAAAGAAAAAAAGACCTCAAAATGTTTCAGAATGTATTGGCTTCTGGGTTTTCAAATCTTTTATTTCAGTCCCCGGAGACATACGTATGGTAACCTCTAAATACATAGTGTTATGTACCTACTGTATGACTAATGCTGTAATCCTGTTATAATGGATTGGATTCCTTACAAGCCTTACACATTCTGAAAAATCTGAATCCAATTTTTCTATATAACTTCAACCTGCGACTTATTAAAGACCAGAGTGAATTGAAAATGTCTAGCAGAACTATGCAAGAGTCACAATAAATCAGGTACTAAATGAAATATTTTAATCCATCTTCATCTTCAGATGTGAAATGTATAGACATTTCACAAGAGTACACACTCATTCTCGGACTAATGAGTAATAACTTGGAGTTATTTTAGAACTGTACATAAAACGATGGTTTTACTCGTCCATGTGTCAGACTGATGTATTGTGAGGAACGGATACAACTAGACAAAATATTAGAACAAGTGCCCTTTAACCTGGCGAGTACAAACCCGTGTCCATCCTCAGCCAGAATCACTCTTTGGCTCTAAGATTTGATAAGATTTGCAAAAGGAGTCTGTGCTCTATTACCCAGCTCCATAATTCATGCAATATTCCATCTTTGGTCTAAAGGTCGCTGTCAAAATTCTCCGTTACTATTGATATGAAATATGCTAGCTAATACAGAATTTATACAGCGTTTACACGAAACATTTAGCAAAGATCGAATGGAGAAGTGCTAAACTGTCACTCTGTCCCTCTAATTGTAAGACATTAGTCATGACGTAGAAACAAAGCTAGCAATGTGAAAGAACGGGTAAATTCGAATAGATTATGACCAAAATAAAAAAAACGCAAGTATAAGGAATACGTATAAACAAGACACGTATTGAAGAAGCATCAAAACCATTAAATCTCGACACAAAACACAAAGTGGAACCTGACACTTCACACCAAAATGACTTTCAGAAAGCGATTAAAGCGGGATGCACCCACAACCAGAAACCTGTTGTACATTCATTAGTGTTAGACACTAAGTCAAGCGTGGCAAGAAAAAAATAATGCATTAAAAAACTCAAACTTCTAAAACCCTCGGTTTCCCTTGGCACGCAGCACAAAGGAGCTTACCATCTCACCGGTAGTGGCACGTAATGATTGTCTAGGTTATTCATTACTACGTGAACTTCTATCCGTTTCCATCCCACATTAGCGTGGTCAGTATCGACCATCACACAGAGAGCCCCATCCATCGCTCCCAGGCGCTGCAGTTCACGGGCAACCCGTTTCCAACTCACCTTTTTTCTGCTTCTCCAGCCGTTTTTTGTTGTCTGTGCACAAAATCCTATACGTCTCCTCTGCACTAACAAACGGTCCGACCCTATAAAAATATGGACTGGAGTCCGCTCATCTTACGCTTCTCTCCATAACATCCTCGATTTTCCCCCCTCCCCAGTAAAAGTCCAGTTTGTCCCAGTATCTCGATGCAGTTGCAACTTGGAAGTTCGTACAAAGTTGCAGCTCCGCCTCGCTCTGCAGCTGCTGGAGAGATGAGGTCACTGCAATTCAGCTCCCCCCTCCCACTCCTATCGCAAATATCTCGCGAGGGCGGGAGAGCGAGATTTGGCTTAAACGAAAAGAAAAGAAGGGGAAAAAAACGGGGGATAGAGAAAGCTATTGAAAGCGTTGCTCTGGCAACTGCAAAACTGCACCGCTGCAGTCAGCGTGCAACTGGTGTTTTTGTCGGGATTTGCTACGCTTTCTTAAAAACATCAAGAGAAGGCTGGCAGATTCTGGTCACAATCACCGTGGAAGAAAAATGCACATCTGTCGGGGACCCCTGCTATCGCTGGCTTGCTGTCGTTGTTTATTACGATGTTTATGCGACTGCACCTGCATCTTTCCGTTAATTCCAGCTAAAATGAATAAACGCAGAGTGCTAAATTTGCGTTTAAAAATTAATAAAAAGTAACTTGTTCTCGCTGCATTGTTGCTCACAAGAGGACTAACGCCCACGCTTCTCTTTTTCGTAAAATCAAAGACATAGTATTTAAAAGAAAGTTTCGGTGGAAAGGTTAGAACTGTGAAGGAAATACAGTACTTCAGCGTTATAATGCACTTCTCGTGTCCCACCCATGAACTTGCCTTAGGCTTGTGAAGAGCTGTTTAAAGCCTTCCCTTACACATTCCTGCATTAACTGTTTTCCAATACATTAGTTCAAGTGGTATGACTGGTTTTGCCAAGCGTCTAATGAAATAACATTTAAATTGTTTACTATTTTTAATGGGATAGAACTGGGAATACAAAGAGGACTTCTTATTTGTAATCCTTTTTGCATTCTTATATTCTGTGGTTATGGCAGACCACTAAGAAAAACAAAAGAAGTTAAAAGAAGGCTAGGTTTTGTTTTGTGCAAAACAGATGGGATTCGCCTTTCATTATTTCCTTTAAACAAGCTGTAGGAAGAGATATAGAAACACAGTAATGCATTCCTGATTTTCTCTGATCCAACTAGTTTTTAGCCTCTTCAACATGTGGTAACAGCCTTTCCAAATGAGTCCTTTTTAAGTTTGAAAATGATAACAGATACAAAATGCTTTGCATTCATTTCTTTTTAGAAAAAAAAAGTTAATCGCTGATCAATGCTACTTGATTTAACATAATTTCCAAAACTTATATTTTAAAGATAAAATTAGATTATTTTTGAACATTTTTTTCTTTGCATATGAGCACAAAAATAAATATGTTTAAATAAGATTCCACTATGCTATGTCACCTGTTTGCATTCAACAAGATTTATTGTGCCTTTATGTGCCTCCTTGCCTTTGGAATGATCTTCCAGAGCTCTACTTTATAAATATTTTTTTTCATCTACATAATAAAGTATTTAGAGTATTTAGTACAAATACTCCTATCCAATTTTTAATTAAATTGGGAGCATTGAATATCAGCTTTCTTTGCTGGTATTCAATTGACTGGACAATTGCAGACTTGACCGCTATATTGAAACTGATAATAAAGCACTAATTGGCATTCGAACTGAAATAGACAAATGTCCCCCAAGCCTGGATTGTTTATTCCAGTGGAAATTCTTATAAACAGGATCAGCATTAGCTTTGTGTGCCATTTAATCAACCAACACATGATTATAATTAGTGTAAAAATGTCTATGACATTACAAATGAAGTGCCAACATTGTGACCTGTCTACATTTTCGGGCGAGCTAATATTGTGAATTTAATTGGTTCTTGCATAATGCTAACCAACACATGTTCTGGTTGGGCACACTGACTCACACTTCACACTGTACCATCTGAAAGCATCTCCAGTCCTGCACACAAGCACATGTTGCCCAGACAGCCGTGCTACACATCTGTGGATTTTTAGTTTTATTTTATCCTCAAATATGATTGATAAAAGTAAAGTTCAGAACTCATCTGACGAAACTGTTGAAAAGAAATGTAGTAAAGAAATGCACTCTCAGGTTGAATTCCATATCTGAACGTTGGTAAGGATGGAAAATGAAGAATGTCTCTGGAAAAATTCAATTTACAGCACTTTGGAAAGCAATCTGAACAGCATCCACACCAGAAGGTCACCAGCTGAATTATGTTTTCTGCAGTCCTTTGGATTCTCTGAAACTGTTAAGCCCCTGCATATTGGAGAGCCTATATAGGAAGGTCACAACCCGTACCGAAGGACACTTTTAATTGCTGAGATGTTCTGCAGGCACAAGCATGTATTCCAGTGTTTATTTGAACAAATCTGTCTGAAAAATTGACATGAGCTCTTTCCTTGTATATGTGTGCAAGTGACAGATGATAAGATAAAATACATTACTGTAGCACATAAGGTACCGCATGCAACACAGAATCCTAGATATAGTACAGAAGTATTCACCAGTTCAAAGAGAACTATAAGCTCTCCCTAAACGACACAATTCTCCTAAATCACATTATACCACGTCTCATCTTTTGCGGACTAAGCCTTGTTTAAATCGGCATGAATTATGTTACTAGAAATGTAGAAGACTCCGAAAATAAAGAGAGGTGTGTAGATTTTACTCAGTGTTCATTTCTTTAGAAAAAAAATAATTTTAGGAAGGCTGTATGAAGATTGTCTTGATATATCAAGGATGAACATATGCGGATGATGACTCATGACGGGCACCTTTGCTACTGTACAACCGATATTTCACCCACTTCAGAAACACATTTTTCCTGATCTTCTGAAAAGCTTCTATGCCTGAAACAAGTTAGGACAAAAAAAATGTACAGTACTTCGTAGAACTACATGCTATATAGGTTTATTGACACGGATTACCGTCCTTTCAGAGATTAAGCACAGTAAAACATAAATCAATTGATTTGGTTTTAAAGTGTAGCCGCCCAGCAAAAAAACGTCTTTGAAGCACTCTGCAGTAAGTGATTTTCATCTCTGCTCCTGGAAAGGAGGGGGCAAAAGGTGTCGATTATCATTTCAGACAAAGGAAAACTCATCCTTAACTCTTCTTCCCTAACTCTAAAGCAAGTGCGTTTGTGATTTGTCTATGTGCATTTTTTTTAATGCACATTGTAAACGTGGTTAACAGCGGCAACGTCTAAGAACGTTTCTGGAATAGTGTGCTGCTCCCTCTAGAGTCTGACAAAATGATTGCATGCTTGACCTTTCCTCTGTCTGTGGAATTCCTATGTAAAGCCGTGCTGGATACTGGGAATAATGCATCCATTCATCAACTTTTCTTGCTTGGCAGTCGCACTAATGCAAAATGACATGAAAATGTGACAGGTTGTTTATACCAAAACAGAGTCGTTGTAGGAAACTACAAGTGGCTTTGATAAGTCAGTATTTCCTATGACAAACGTTTTGTCTGGCAACGAAATCCCAATTCGACTGCGTCTATGTTAAAATAAGGCATTCACAGGAGGAAGAAAAGTCAAAGTAAAAAGGTGCTCTGTCATTTTAATGTATTTCATAGCAGTCCTACGTTGATTAAGAAAGTCCCAAAGTATTCCAGCATGTATTTATTAGCATTACTTTCCCAAATAATTGGAATCAAACTATTATTTTGAAACTGAATACTCACCTTTGCAAAATCCAATAACCTTCAAGGCTGAACTGCAAGACTCTATGTTCTCCAGAGTCAGTATAGTAAAAGTGGAACTTTCATATCAGACCACATCAAATGTGCTTTTTAACAACAAAATTATGTCCTCATTTCAAACATGGAGAAAGTGAATCTAGTCTTTAACAACTAAATATTTCCTCATTATCAAATTTGAAATTTGTAGAGAATATTGAGTTGCCATTTTGTTTGTGCAATTATCAATGGAAATTTAGTGTATATATATAAATAAATAACAACATGGCTATTTCTTATGAACTACTTAACATTTGTCCATAACTTAACCAGAAAACAAAAAAACAGTCACACAAAATACATTTGATTAGATTTACCTCCACACAGCCTTGAAGGCATTCTTACTGTATAATTTCAATATCCAAATTAAGCTATATTGTGTTATGTAGTTCAGTTCTCAAATGTTTTTGTGGTGCTGTCTTGTTAAAGGAGCATTCAGCTGTGATGGCTGATCACTCTTAGACCACTCCATTAACATCTTCACAATTTATAACATCACAACATATGATGTCATAGATACTGTATATCATTAGTGTCACGCCCTCTGCAGCCAGAGGGCGTTCCTTCTCTGTCCTGTCCCTAGTTTCCGGTCTGCTGTCCTTCCTGTCCCTCTCTTTCCCTTGGGCTATATATTTCCGGGTCTTGCACTCTGTCCTGGCTCAGCATTGACGTTCGGATGTCCTGAGACCCGCCTAGCACCAGGGCGCCCCACGTCCGCTCCCTGAGGGCATAGGTTTCTATACGGCATTCCTGAACTCTTTGCACTATGAGCCCGGGCCTTTTTCCCGTCTCGCCGCTACGCATATGGGTCTTTTTCTGCTCTCCTGCTCCCCACGGTTAGTCCCTTTGGACGTCCGTGACAATTAGTATGATGAAGACAGTTTTACATCTTAAAATACCATCCAAAATGTCAAATGTTTACAGTACCCACATTGTGGGAAATTTCTAGCGCTTCAGAGCACCTGGGTGGTGTCCTGAAATGTAAAAATGAGCTGGTTGTAGCCCTTCCTATCCATTGCAATACAGGAGCCGAATGCATGAGACGCTTCATTTTGTAACTCTGCTTCCCACTGCTCATCTTTATTTTACATTCCTTCCTAATGCGGCTAAAGAAGATCTGTGATGTAAATAATCAGCGCGGGGGTTGTTCTGCAGTAATCCAATGAAAGATGCATTTAATCTTCTTTCTGGCTGTTTCTGTAGCAGGCCCACTTAACAGAAGATCTCAGTCTCAGTGACTGTCCTCTCTTTTCCAGCTGGCAGTCATCCTCTTTCTCTCTCCCTACTGTCACACCCCCCTGCCTGCTGCTTCATTTAGAAGAGTGGTCTGCAGTTGGGCCCGGGCTGCTACTCCTGCTTTAACACATGGATACTGCCACCTCGCCTTCCAATCCTGGAGCCTTTGA